GATTGCAGGGCCTTTGGCGATGATCTTTTCGTCCTCACTGTCCACGGGTATAGTGCCGGAAGATTGGAAAGAGGCAAACGTCATTCCCTTGTTCAAAAAAGGGAATAGGGATAACCCCGGAAATTACAGGCCAGTTAGTCTTACGTCAGTGGTGGACAAATTATTGGAAAGGGCTCTAAGAGATAGGATTTATGATCACTTGGAAAGGCACGGTTTGATTCGTGATAGTCAGCATGGATTTGTGAGGGGTACATCATGCCTCACAAACCTTATTGAATTCTTTGAAGAGGTGACCAAACACGTGGATGAAGGTAAAGCAGTGGATATGGTATACATGGATTTAAGTAAGGCGTTTGATAAGGTTCCCCATGGTAGGCTCATGCAGAAGGTAAGGAGGCATGGGATGGGGGGAAATGTGGCAGATTGGATTCAGAATTAGCTGACCCTTAGAAGACAAAGGGTGGTAGTGGACGGAAAATATTCAACATGGTGCTCAGTTACGAGTGGTGTACCACAAGGATTTGTCCTGGGTCCTCTCCTATTTGTGTTTTTTGTCAATGATTTGGATGTAGGAGTGGAAGGGTGGATTAGCAAGTTCACGGACGATACGAAGGTGGGTCGCGTTGTGGACAGTGCGGAGGGCTGTTCTAGGTTACAAAGGGACATTGATAGGATGCAGAGCTGGGCTGAGAAGTGGCAGATGGAGTTTAACCCTGAAAAGTGTGAGGTGATTCATTTTGGAAGGACAAACTTGAAAGCAGAATACAGGGTTAATGGAAAGATTCTTGGCAGTGTGGAGGAGCAGAGGGATCTTGGGGTTCATGTTCACAGTTCCCTGAAAGCTGCCACCCAGGTGGATAGAGTTGTTAAGAAGGCGTATGGTGTGTTAGCTTTCGTTAATAGAGGGATTGAGTTCAAGAGCCGTGAAGTTATGCTCCAGCCATACAAAAGCCTGGTTCGACCACATCTGGAGTATTGTGTCCAGTTCTGGTCGCCTCATTACAGGAAAGATGTGGAAGCTAGGAAAAGGTGCAGAGGAGATTTGAGATAACAAGGTGTAGAACTGGATGAACACAGCAGGCCGAGGAGGAACGCTGACGTTTCGGGCCTGGACCCTTCTCGACCCTAGAATTTCTGAAGAAGGGTCTAGGCCCGAAACGTCAGCTTTCCTGCTCCTCTGATGCTGCTTGGCCTGCTGTGTTCATCCAGCTCTACACCTTGTTATCTGAGATTCTCCAGCATCTGCAGATCCTACTATCTCTGCAGAGGAGATTTACCAGGATGTTGCCTGGAATGGAGGGAAGGTCTTACGAGGAAAGGTTGAGAGAGCTAGGGCTTTTCTCTTTAGAATGACGAAGGATGAGAGGTGACTTGATAGAGGTGTACAAAACGATCAGAGGTCTAGATAGAGTGGACAGCCAGAGACATTTTCCTTGGGTGGAGGTAGCTTTTATGAGGGGACATAGTTTTAAAGTGAAAGGAGGTCGGTACAGGGGAGATGTCAGAGGTAGGCTCTTTAATCGGAGAGTGGTCGGGACGTGGAATGCATTGCCGGAGAGGGTAGTGGAGTCGGCCTCATTAGGGGCATTTAAGCGGCTATTAGATAGGCATATGGATGATAGTGTAGGGTAGGGGTGGAGGCGAGATAGACCTTAGGATTAGGGTAAAAGTTCAGCACAACATGGTGGGCCTAAGGGCCTGTACTGTTCTATATTCTATGTTCTATGTTAATGCCCTCGGGGGAATGGGTTCAAATCCTGGTGCAGCAGCTGCTAACATTTCAGCGAATCAATCTGAAATGTCAAACTAATCTCAGCGATGGTGGCCATGAAATGACCATTCATTTCAATCTGCTGTCCTTGCCCAGGCCTGGCCTACGTGGTTTATCGATTGACATCTGGAATGAGCAGATCTTTTTATTCATTCACGGGATGGGGGCGTTGCTGGCTAGGCAGCATTTATTGCCCATCCCTGATTGCCCAGAGGGCAGTTAAGAGTCAACCACATTGCTGTGGGTCTGGAGTCACATGTATATCAGACCAGGTAAGGATAGCAGTTTCCTCCCCTAAAGGACATTAGTGAACCAGGTGGGTTTTTCTGACAATCGACAATGGATTCATGGTCATCATTAGATTCTTAATTGCAGATATTTTATTGAATTCACATTCCACCATCTGCCGTGGCAGGATTCGAACTCAGATCCCCAGAATGTTATGCAGGTCTCTGGATTAACAGTCCAGTGATAATACCACTAGGCCATTACCTCTCCTTTTAGCTCCTTTCCACTAACCAGGATCTCTCCTTTATGTAACCAGACCTGTGGGTGGGACTTGATCCAAGCCCTCCTGGACCAGAGGGAAGGACGATACCACAAGGACACTCCCTTCCCTCTCTTTTATTCTGTCTTGATATTTTTGATTCCAACACCGAACGACTGTGTTGCTTTTCCTCCTGTATCCTCCCTCCCCCATGTCTCTAACTGAATTACCAATTCACATTGAAAGGCCCATCTTTCTTCCCGCTACAACAGCGTTTCCTAATCAGCCTTTGGAGCAGGTGGGACTTGAATTAAGGCCTCCTGACCCAAAGGTAGGAACGCTACCGCTCACCTTCCCCTTCCTATCCAGCCAGTCAGCACATTCGCTGGCTTCACAACGTGGCATAAGAGGAGCACACACTACTCCATGTGTGCTCTTACCCCCCCCGCCACCTCTCCCTCGCCACCGACACCCCCCCCCCCCCCCACTTCCTCTAATATTCCATACCCCAACAACATCCCATTTTCCCTTCCTCATCACTTCCCTACCTCCGGAATAAACTGGATAAATGTGAGGTGATGCACATGGACAGGACAAACAAGGCAATGGAGCACATGATAAACAGTAGGTCCCTGGGAATCCCCGAGGATCAGAGGGACCTCGGTGTTTATGTCCACCAGATCCCTTAAGGTATCAGAGCAGCTGCAGAAAGCAAATGGGCTTCTGGCCTTTATTAGCTGAGGCATCAGGTTTAAAGGAAGGAGGTTCTGGTGTAAAACACTGGGTAAGCCCATAGCGGGAATATTGTGCCCGGTTCTGGAATCCACACTATTGGAGGCACGGGAGAGGGTTTGCAAAGGAGATTTACCAGGATGTTGCCTGGGATGGAGAGATTGGACAGACTGGTCCTGCTTTCCTTGGAGCAGCAGAGACTGAAGAGGGACACGATTGAGATGGATAACGTTATGACGGGCATGGACAGGGGAGATAGGAAGGAACGTTTTCCCCTTGGTGGTGGGATGAGTGACAAGGGATTTAAGGGAAGGAGCAGAAGGTTTAGAGGAGACGTGATGAAGAGAAAAGGGAGGTAGTAATCAGGAGCTCAATGCCTGTGAGGGTGGGAGAGGCAGAGGCCCTCATAACATTGAAGAAATATTTAGATGTGCACTTGTGATACCAAGGCTGCGGACCATGTGCTGGACAGTGGGATTAAAATAGTTAGGTGGCTGGTTTTAACCAGTACATACACAATGGGCTAAAGTGCCTGTTTCTGAGATCTCTATAACTCTGTGTCTAATGTTTTTATATTATTGAGGCTTCTCATTCTGATTTTCCGATTGTAGCTGGAATGTGCGGAGGTCCTGAAGCTGTTGGATGAGGAGCAGGCAATGATTTACTTCTCCTTAGGCAGCACCTACTTTGATCTGAAGAATTACAAACAGGCCATCAGTCATTATGAAACAGAACTGATGTTTCAGAAAGACCGACCCCGGGAGGTGAGTTACCAGTTCAGTGTTAGTTGCTGATTCCTGTACTCTCTGCTAACTCACTGATAACTGACTGCGTTTATACAGTCTAAAGACTGACTGCATCTCCTTCACAATGGATAGTCATTCCAGTGTTTCAAAACTAGCAAACAAGGCTGAAAATCTAACTGTCAGTGTAACACCTTTACTTCAAAAGGGAAGGAGACAGAAAACAGATAGCTCCAGGCCAGTTAGCTTCACATCTGTTATTGGGAAAGTGTTCGAGTCTTTTATAAAGGATGTAATAGCAGAACATTTAGACCAATATAATATGATCAGGCAGGGTCAGCATGGCTTTACGAAGGGAAGTATGCCTGACAAATTTATTAGAATTCTTTTGAGGAGTTTAGAAATAGGATAGATAAAGGTGAAACAGGGAATGTAATGTATTTGGATTTCCAGAAAGTGTTTGATAAGGTATTGTTCATTAGGTTAGGTTGTAAGAGAAGAGCCTGTGGTACTGGGGGTAGAGGATGGATAGAGGATTGGCTAACTAATAGAAAACAGAGAGTTGGGATAAGAGGGGGCATTTTCAGGGTGGCAACCTGTAACTAGTGGAGTGCCCTGGGGATCAGGGAACAGAGAACAATACAGCACAGGAACGGGCCCTTCAGCCCACAATGTTGTACTGAACATGACACCAAATGAAACTAATCCCTTCTGCCCGTCCTTGGTCCATACACCTCCATTCTTTGCATATTCATGTGCTTTTCTAAAAGTCTCTTAAACAGCCCTATCGTACCATCACACCTGGTCGTACATTCCACACTCCTACCGCTCTCTGTGTAAAAGGGTTGGCCCTCACATCTCCTTTGAACTTTCCCCCTCTCACCTTAAATGCATGCCCCCAAGTATTTGACATTTCAATTCTGGGAAAAGGATTCTGACTGTCAACCCTATCTCTGCATCTCATCATTTTATAGACTTCTTTCAGGCAGAAGATTCAGAAGCCTGAACACATACACGATTAGCTTCAGGAATAGCTGCCTGGACCAGCTTGTAAACAAAGCTATTCACTGTACCACAGTACACTTAACAATAAATCAATCATTCAGGTATTAACTTCTATCAGTGTTAATGACTCGGATGAGGAAAGTGAATGCACTGTGGCCAGGTTTGTGGATAACATAAGGAAGTTTATGATTGCACTGGAGAGGGGAGTAGAGGAGATTCAGCAGGACGTTGCCGGGGCCAGAGCAATTCAGCGATGAAGAGAGACCGGATAGGCTTGGGTTGTTTTCCATAGAGCAGAGCAGGCTGTGAAAGGAGTGTTGTTTGAGGTGTATATGTAATGAAGGGCACAGATAAGGTAAATCCAGAGAAACCTTTCCCCTTGGTACAGGGATCAATAATGAGGGACACACTTTTTAAGGGAAGGAGCACAAGGTTTGAGGGGGATTTGAGGAAAATGTTTCTCTCCCATGGTGGCAATCTGGGATTCACTGGCTGAAAGTGGGGTTTAGGTGGAGGAACACTCATTATATCCAAGAATTATTTAGATGATCACTTGAAATGCTATTGCTTCCATGGCTATGGGCCAAGTGCTGAGAGGAGATGGGAGTTTGATGGCTAGCATGGACCTGATGGGCTGAAGAGCCTTTTATTGGGCCATACAAACTCCATAGCCGTGCGTGAGAGTTTTTCCAACGTTGTGAAGTCTGCAGTAGAGACTTAGAATGTTACTAAATGAAACTTTATTCTCTCACATCTCTGCCTGACCCCTGAGGTCTGCCCCTGGTTTGGTGTCATGTTTGGAACAATGTCATGGCTGGGTGTAAGGCCAAAGGGTGCAGTATGGGGGTGTGAGTCAGCTGTAGCTTAGCAAGGGGTCCATGGGGGTTGGTGGGTGAAGCAGAATTTCTTGGCATTGAGTAATGATGGGTATGAAGCGTGGTTGCGGCTTGTGTCAGTACGGATGGGGCAGGGGGAGTGTACAGTTGGGGGTGGGCTTGAATCCTGGAGGAATGCTTCATGTTTTATTCTCTATTTGGATACAGTGCAGGCCCCCAGAGGCAGACCCTCCCTCCAACTTTCTTGAATGCCCTCCCCAACCTCTAACACAGCCACCATCCTCCAGACTGCCGTTCCTAAAGAAGTCCTCCTTACTTCAGGAAGGCTTATACCTCCATTGGAGACAGTTTGAATGAAGGGGTTTGTCTGATGAGGGGAGGTTGAGTAGGTTGGGTCTGTACCAATGGAGTTTAGGAGAATGTGAGGTGACCTCATTGAAACATCTAGGATTGCTAAGAGGTCTGGTCTTGACAGGGGTAGGTTCTGAGAGGACGGTTTACCCCATAGGGGCACAATTTAGAAACAAGACGGAATAAAATGGAGGGGTGAGAACTGGTACCTCTGGTCACAGACAGTGGTTAATTTTTTGGATTCTCTTTCCCAGGGGACCATGGGAGCTGGTTCATTCAATCAATTCACAGATGAGCTCGAGAGATCAGTGACTGACGGGGGCGGGGGGTGTGCTAAATGTGGGGTTACAGGGATAGGCTGGGGTGCTGGGTCTGGGTGGGATGCTCTTCAGTGGGTCATTGTGGATTTGGTGGATCGAATGGCCTCTTTCTGCTCTGTAGGGATCCTATGGATTAGGAGCATAATCGGGTCAACCATCACCTAACGGAACAGCAGAGCAAGCTCGAGGGGCTGAATGGCCATTTCCTGCTCGTATCTCCTGCAACCTTGTGTACACTGGGATGTGGCAATGCCTCTATCACAGGAGCACAACCTTTGATTCACATGGGAGCGTGCGCTTTAATCTCCGACTGACATCCCATCGCACTGCATTCTGTCTGTCACCACCACTTCCACCAATCAGATGGCACAGCGTGCGGGGACGGGGAGGGCAGCTACACCAATGTAGACAGGTTTGCAGGAGTTGGTGATAAATCATGATGTTTCTCTGCAGAAGTGCAAAACGTGGCTCCATCTCGCAGCAGCCAAGAGGATGGATGGAGCAGGAAGCACTGAGGTCCTTCAGTGCTACCAGAATGCACTGCAACTGGCTAAGGAGACCAATGATCCCAGGCTCCAGGTACGGTGACCCCTGGTTCACAGGGAGAGGTGAGAGGTCAGTGTGGGGTACAGTGACCCCTGGTTCACAGGGAGAGGTGAGGGGTCAGTGTGGGGTATGGTGACCCCTGGTTCCGGGTAGAGGTGAGGGGTCAGTTTGGGGTACGGTGACCCCTGGTTCACAGGGAGAGGTGAGGGGTCAGTGTGGGGTACGGTGACCCCTGACTCACAGGGAGAGGTGAGGGGTCAGTGTGGGGTACGGTGACCCCTGACTCATGGGGAGGGGTGAGAGGTCAGTGTGGGGTACAGTAAGGGGTGAGGGGTCAGTGCGGTGTACAGTGACCCCTGACACTCCCTGAGGGGTCAGTTTTGGGTACAGTAAGTTGTGAGGGGTCAGTGTGAGGTACAGTGCTCTGGCCTACATGTGACTCCAGACCCATGGCAACGTGGTTGGCTCTTAACTGCCCTCTGGGCAATTGGGGATGTGCAATAACTGCTGACCCAGCTAGTGTGCGTGTGTGTGTATGTGTGTGAGAGAGAGAGACCTACTGTGTGAGTGTCTATCTGTGTGTGTGTGTATCAGAGAGAGAGAGCGAGACTGTCTGTGTGAGTGTCTGTCTGTGTGTGTGTGTATCAGAGAGAGAGAGTGTCTGTCTGTGTGTGTGTGTATCAGAGAGAGAGAGAGACTGTCTGTGTGTGTGTATCAGAGAGAGAGAGAGACTGTCTGTGTGTGTGTATCAGAGAGAGACTGTCTGTGTGAGTGTCTGTCTGTGTGTGTGTATCAGAGAGAGAGAGACTGTCTGTGTGAGTGTCTGTCTGTGTGTGTGTATCAGAGAGAGAGAGACTGTCTGTGTGAGTGTCTGTCTGTGTGTGTGTGTGTATCAGAGAGAGAGAGACTGTCTGTGTGAGTGTCTGTCTGTGTGTGTGTATCAGAGAGAGAGAGAGAGACTGTCTGTGTGAGTGTCTGTCTGTCTGTGTATCAGAGAGAGAGAGAGACTTTCTGTGTGTGTGTATGAGAGAGAGACACTGACAGAGTGGGCTGGGTTCGATCCCTGGGGCTGGGTTCCTGCCTTCGATAACAGAGACTGGGACAATTATTGACCACCCCCCACCAGCTCTGCTTTATAATTCCTTATTGGCCTGTTCAGGGATGTTATAATACACTGTGGGAGCATGTGGGGCTCTCTCTGGCTCAGAGATAGAGACACTACTGCAGCACCACAAGAGCTATGCCCCTGGCTGTGAATTGAGCTGTCTGTCTGTGTCCCATAGCCTCACACACATCACAGCCAGCAACCCACTCTTCGTTCCCCGGCTCCTTAAAACCCTGAGATTTACTCAAAGTTTCTATCCAGCTCCCTTTTGAAAGTTCATATTGAACCTAATTCCATCAGCCATTTCAGTCCGCACATTCCAGGTCCCTACAACCCAGAGGAAGCAGTGATTCTGAGGGACACCATGGTACTGTCAATGAGCTGGGAATCGAGAACCTCACGTTAATGCTCTGGGGTCCTGGCTTCGAATCCCACCATGAATTCATGTAAAAATGTGGAATTAAGAATCTAATGATGACTGTGAATCCATTGTCAATTGTCAGGAAAAACCCATCTGGTTCACTAATGTCCTTTAGGGAAGGAAACTGCCATCCTTACCTGGAACAAAAACAGAAGTTGCTGGAAAAGCTCAGTGGGTCTGGCAGCATCTGTGAAGAAAAAAAATTAGAGTTAATGTTTTGGGTGCTATGACCCTTCTCATAGAATCCCTACAGTGTGGAAACAGGCCCTTTAGCCCAACAAGTCCACACCGACCCAAAGAGCATCCCACCCAGACCTATCCCCCTTATCTACACATCCCTGAACACTACGGGCAATTTAGCGCGGCCAATCCACCCTAACCTGCACATCTTTGGACTGTGGGAGGAAACCGGAGCACCTGGAGGAAACCCACGCAGGCACGGGGAGAATGTGCAAACTCCACACAGACAGTCGCCCGAGGGTGGAATTGAACCCGGGCCCCTGGTGCTGTGAGGCAGCAGTGCTAACCACTGAGCCACCGTGCCTGGCCTATATGTGACTCCAGACCCACAGCAATGGGGGTGACTCATATCTGCCCTCTGGGCAACAAATGCTGGCCCAGCCAGAGACTCTCTATGTGGAATAATCTCTGGCACGCACCCACTTTGGTGCTTCATCTACACTTTATTCAATAGGGCATCCATCAGGATTGACTGATAGTGTCGCTATGCCGACATAGTTATAACCACCGGAAATAATTTACTGGAAAAGGCCGTGGGAACAGTCTGTGAAAATGTACACATTCTCCACCCAGGTCTGGTCCTGGACAATCCCCCCATCTCCCTGTCTCTCTCAATGGCACTTATGGCACAGTGGTAGTGTCTCTACCCCTGAGCCAGGAGGCTTGGGTTCCAGTCCCACAAACACCCCCCAGAGCTGTGTCGTTAACCTCTCTGTTCTATTTCAAAGAAACGTAACAGTGGGATAGTAAGAAACTTCCATGGGATGGACCCATCATCTGTGGTTAACTAGGGAGTTTAAAGATAGCATCACCCTTCAAGGAAAAGCATAGAAATAGTCATTTCGTGGAGACAACCTGAGATATTGGTGACAGATCTAAATGATGGCTTTTTTCCCATTGCAGAAATTAGTGGGTTGAAAGGTTTGACAAATGTGTGAATTTTTTTTCAAAATACTGCAAAAAAAACATCAATGTACAAAAATAAACAGGTGGCAGGTCAGAAACTGAACAGAATATACAAAATAGCGATGACTAGCCAAAAGGGTAGAGTATGAGAGAAAGCTAGCCAGCAATGTAAAAATAGACAGTAAGTTTCTTTAAACAGAATTAACAAATGAGTGTTGGTCCCCTGGAGAGAGAGAGAGAGAGAGAGAGACTACTGAAGAATGGAACATAAGGGATGAGCAGACAAATTGAATGGGTATTTAACGCCAAGCTTCAGTGTGGAGGATACAGGAACATCCTTAAGCAGCAATAAATCAGGAAATGGAAGGAGTAGGAGGAATCAGGAAAATCACAGAGCAGAGGATTGAGTAAAGTGAAGGATTTTGAGAAGATTTGTAGCTCGTGTCGTGGATGAGGTTGTAGACTTGCTCACCGAACCGGTGTGTTTGATTGTAGATGTTTCATCATCCTGCTCGGTAACATCGTCAGTGCGCCTCCGGTGAAGCGTTGGTGTTCCGTCCCACTTGTTATTTCCATGCCTCGGTTTGCTGGGATGGTTGGCATCACCTTCTGGTTCTGTTTCTCAGTGGTTGGTATATGGGGTCCAGCTCCAGTTTGAGTGCCAGGCCTCCAGGAATTCTCATGCATGTCTTTGTTTAGCCTCTCCTAGGAGGGCTACAGTGTCCCAGTCAAATTGGTTGTAACTGTTATAATTAACTTTCCACCAATTTAGAACTTTCACAGAGGATCAGTTTTATCCTTATCCATAGCTATCTGAAAACTTCCAGAATTGTGATCGCTCTTCCCAAAATGCTCTGCTTCTGAAACTTTGATCGCCTGACCAGCTTCATTGCCCAACACAAGGTTTCGTATGGCCCCTTCCCTGCGGGACTATCTACATATTGTTTCAAGAAACCCCCCTGGATGCACCTCACACATTTTGCCCCATCTAAGCCCCTGACTCTAAAGGAATCCCAGTCAACATCGAAGAAGTTAAAATTGGGAAGGTAGCAGCCTAATGGACTGTTAAACCAAGGACACAGCCAATATCCTGGGGACTGGGTTCGAATCCCGCCGCGGCAGATGTTGGAATTTGAATTCAATAAAAAATCTGGAATGAAGAGTCTAATGATGACCATGAATCCATTGTTGGAAAAACCCACCTGGGTCACTAATGTCCTTTAGGGAAGGAAACTGCCATCCTTACCTGGTCTGGCCTACATGTGACTCCAGACCCACAGCAATGTGGTTGACTGTTAACTGCCCTCTGGGCAATTAGGGATGGGCAATAAATGCTGCCCTAGCTAGCAATGCCCTCATCCCATGAATGAATGTAAAGAAATCACCCATTTCAACAACCCTGTTGTTTTTACATCTTTCCATGATCTGCTTATATATCTGTTCCTCTATCTCCTGCTGGCTACTGGTATTGTGTATCGATTATAATTTTACAAAACTTCCTTGCTTCAGGGACAGTCCCATCTGATTGGAAAATATCTCATGGAACTATTTCATTCAAAATGGGAGGGAGACAGAGAGCAGGAAACTACAGGCCAGTTAGCTTAACATCTGTCAGAGGGAAAATGTTAGAAGGTATTCTTAAAGACATAGTAACAGGGCACTTGGATAACTTTAAGGTAATTGGGCACAGTCAACATGGATTTGTCAGAGAGAAATCATGTTTAACTCATTTATTGTAGTTCTTTATAGAATTACATGGGTCGGGTGATCCAGTGGATGTACTGTATTTAGATTTGCAGAAGGCATTTGATAAAATTATCAGGAAAAATAGAAGCTCATGCTCTAAAGGGTAACATATTGGCACGGAGAAACGATTGGTTGGCTAACAGGAAGCAGAGGGTAGGAATAAGTGAGTCTTTTTCAGGCTGGTGCTGTGCCACATTGGTCACTGTTGGGACTTCAACTCTTCACAATTTATAGAAATGATTTGGAGGAAGGAGCTGAATTTGCTGATGGCACAAAGAGAGTTTGGAAAGTGAGTTGTAAAGAGGAAATAAGGTGCCTACAAGGGGATGTAGACTGATTCAGTTCAACGAGCGAAGGCCTGGCAAATGATGTACAATGTGGGAAAGTGTGAAATTACCCATTTTGGCAGAAAGACTGAAAAAAAGAAGCATATTACCTAGATGGTGAGAGGTTGCAGAGCTTTGAGATGCAGAGGGATCAGGATGTCCTAGTATATGAATCACCAAAGGTCAGTCTGCAGGTAATCAGGAAAGCTCATAGAATGTAATGGTTTATTGTGAGGGAAGTTAGACACAAGAGTAGGGAGGTTCCAAAGACAAATGGATCAGGCAAAAACAATTCCCTCAGAGGGTCCGGAGTCTTTGGAACACCTCCCTGAAACCGTCGTGGCAGCACAGTCCTTGAATGTTGTGAAGGTGGAGGTTCCCTCCAGGTGCTGCAGTTCCCTCCCACAGTCCAACAATGTGCTGGTTTGGGTGGGTCAGCCAGGGAGAATTACCCAGAGTATCCAGGGATGTGCAGGCTCGGGGGATTAGCCATGGGAAATGAGGGTTACAGGGATAGGGTAGCTGCAAGGGTCACGGTGGACTCGATGGGTCGAATGGTCTGCTTCCCACAAAAAATTGGGATGGTCACTGGGAACACTGTGATGGTCACTCCCCGGGAATGCTGGGATGGTCACTCCCTGGGAATGCCAGGACGATCACTCCCTGGGAACGCCGGGATGTTCCTGAGTTTCTGTTTCTGGAGTAGTTGCTCCTTCACCTGATTTTCTCTCTGCAGAGAAAGGTGCTGAAGGAACTGGATCGAAGCCACAGGAATGCGAGCAGCTCCTCGGAGCAGGACAGGAAAGATGGGACAACAACAGATAGCAGTCAGGAGGAGCTGGAGACAGAGCATCGAGAGCTCCCAGAACACAGTGATCCGGAACTCTGGAAAACCAGTAAGTGGAGGAAATCTGGGACCAGGGTGTAGTTAGAAAAGAGAGAGAGAGTGTGTGTGACAGTGAGAGAGAGAGTGTGTGACAGTGACAGTGAGAGAG